GTAATACGGAGTAGTCTGTACACGAAAATCCGAAGTGAATACCCCCTCGATGTGGACGACCCCTTAGACACCACAATGTGTTGAGACAATGCACACTTGAACTTAAACACCGATTGACGTGAACATTAAACAATTGTTTAACCAGTGAAGTGAAATTACACTCCCATTAACGTTATGTGGGTTGTGGGATTTTTCCTCATCTGAGAAGATTCCTCAAAATCTGAGGAGAGATCAGAGGACTCTTCCTTAAGCGTGGGAGTTCCTCAAAGTTTTGCTTTTTTTCTGAACAAAAAAGACATGGTTTCTACCGTGTCTACAGGAACGCCAATATGTGGCACGCAAATAGGTCAAGGTTCTTCAGGAGAGAAATGACAAAATGTGGGGTTCAAAGGTACCAAATTCCGGCAGAAAAAGTGGACGGCAAAATACCAATGGGAAACAAGGAGTACACTGAGGGAGATGTTTTGTTGCAGCCATCAAAATTTTGATAGCCAGGACCAAATTTTGTTCGATCAGTCAGGTTTTGTCAAAGGTATCCAAATTCTAGGTGCTGTAACCGAAATTTTGGTTGCTGCAACCAATAATTTAGTTGCTGCGACTAAAATTTTAATTGCTATGAGTAATCCGACTGATCGAACAATTTTTGATGGATACGACGAAACATTTCTCTCAGTGCAGAGCGTTGAGAGCGCCTTACGTTGAGCATGACACAGTTCATGGGGTTCAAGTTGATGCCGTTGATCTCGTTGACGCCAGCGGCCCGCACTAGCTCGTCCTCGGTCAGCCAACTCAGGCCCGCCGTCTCGCGCAACCACCGTGCGGCAGCGGGCCAGGTCTCGGACATCTTGTGGGTCACGGCCTGCTCAGCACGCCAGTTGTTGTTGTCGTTCACACCCAGTGCCGGAGCCTGAATCCCTTTCGCTGGCAGGAGGGGCTACAAAAAGATCACTTAATTTACGTTTTGCAATCGAATTCAAGGAACGGACAAAATATCCCACTGCAGCACCCCTAGGTTAGCCCATCGCACCAGAATTTTGTTTTTAAGGTACAGAGCCTTAACGGTAGTTTTGACCTATGAGAGACCGTGTGCAAAGTTTGGGGCCTGTGCGACAACGTTTACCCGGATCACATCGCGATTTTCGAATCGGGCTACGACTTGCAGCTCGGAAAGCAGTCATCATGAAAGCTCCGTCTTGCGGTAGTAGTACGGCCAGGGAACATGATTTGGGCCTCTGTTCTCTCATTGGTGCCACTTATTGGCCAACAACTAAGAATCGGAGTCACACCCCCAGCAGCGCCTACAAGGGCGTAAGTGTCGCGGTCGCGGCCCACCAACGCGTCTCACACCAGGGGGCTACCCTAGGTGGTATTACGGAGACTAAGCACCGGCGAGTCTACCATAGCTACGTTTTCTCGATCATTACTTTTGGGATTTACGTTGTACAATTAAATAACGGCAATCTTTGACGGTGCACACTTAAGTAAGTTCATTTTCTACCAAGTGCAATGTACGCTGTTGGATTTCAGAGGATACATGCGTTACCTGCTTGTATGTGGCCTGTAGATCCGCAAGTTTTGGATGTTTCTTCATAGCTAGGTGGGTTCTTAGAGCGGCCAGGGCCATCCACAAGTAAGATCCCGCTTTCTTTCTTGTATCTGGAAATTATTTGACGACAAAAAACAGTGATCACCTTAATAGAAACACAGAGACGCAAGCCCGCCCTTTCCCCAAACGAAGTTGTCCAGCTTTACTTATTCGGTCAACCGGCAACTCCGTTATGCAAGGGGCTCCCCGAGGCAAAGTAGTAGCCTGAATGTTGTCTGGATTTTGTCGAGAGAGGGTGACAGTTCGTAAGTAAAGCACAGTTAAATGGCACGACATGGGCAGTGTATAAGTAGCCAAACCGTACACTCTAAATGTAAAGGAACTGGTTTTTGATCCTTTAACTAGCAATAAAGTGTTCGTCTACAGCCACATAAGTTTTGATATCTAGCGAACCTCTGTCGATCGCACGATCTTCCTCTCAAACTTTCAATAATAATAAAAAAAAATCTGACAAAACATGAATACAAACGACGTCGCACGTATGTGCGATTCCTGCTATTAGCGGTTCTGATCGCCTCGGTCAAGCCGTCGGTTGACGCAACTAAGCCTGTTGCAGCTATGTGGCTTGCTTGTCACTATCAGGAAGTCGATACCCCCCGAGTCTTTCGAAAGACATGGAGAAAGCGATCGAATTTAGGGTGCCACAACCACCCTTTTTTTAGGAAGCTATGGCCAGGCAACTCAACTCTACTTAAAAGCGGGGTGGGACTGCTTGATAGAAGTTCTGGGGACGAAACGTACATGGCAGATGGCAGGGTTACTCACCAGCAGTTAGTTTAAAGCCCGCACGTTGAAAGGCCTCACACTCCGGCCTATGTGCATCAGACTTGCTACATTCGCTGCGACAAACGGGCCACCCACACGAACTGCACTTCCTTTCGTAGGTTAAGCTTTGGTCAGAAGCCAGGCAACCCACACAGTAAACCTTGTTAAAAGCCTGGAGCTTCTCGTTAAGCTGAAAGAACAAACACAAAAATTCAAGAAATTTAAGACATGCAAACATTTAAGAATTATAATCTCAATTTTAACCACACTCGGAACTTTTTTACAATTTTCACAGCCATATTCAACAATTACCACCCATATTCAACAATATTCACTCATTCAAAATATCCATTCATATTCAAGCTACTCCCAAATATTCAACCATAATCAAATATTCAGATATTCATCGTACACGAAATTTCGAAGTTGCTGACCCGTCGAATCTGATCACACATTTGAAGTACAAAGAACCTTACTTGTACCTTAAAGCCCACGAGAAATTGGCGTTTTGTTCAGAGATTCTAGGCGTCTCGTTGTCCAAAGTCAAGTTAATTACAACTCCAATCGTTTAAAATATAAGTCCAATCGACATTTTTAATCATTCTACGCTCATCCGAGAAGTAAGGTATCCATCCACCCTCGGTGAGTATGGTCCTAAATGGAAGTCCTGAATGATTGTATGAAAAGTAGGAATGGGTGTGACTTTTCAAAACAATTTCGTCAAAACTAAGGAAAGCTGTTAAATTTAATAAACTTGTTCTGAAATTTAATTACTTTTCAGTACAATTGCGAAATTTCATCAGAATTTTCATAACCTGGTTTGCAAAACTCGGAAAACTTCTTTAAATATCATAATCTGTTATTACGTTTAAGAACAA